AATTAAATTGTATTCTTATAATTTTCTTTCTTTTTTCATTCATTTTTTCTAAAAAATATCTATTTTTAATTAAATTATAAAATTTTATATAAACTAATTTATAATTAAATTTATTATATATTTATTATTTAAAGGTATTTTATATTAATGAATATTAAATTTATTTTTATACGTATAATTATTGTTATTATTATTTATTTAATTAATGTCCTAAATTTTTATTCTTTTTAAAATACTTGTATCATATGGGGGAAAGGGAAGGAGAAGGGGAAGGAATTGTGAAAACCATCCCGTGATAATTTCACAATATTACATTAGATTCACATAAATTCTATTTCAAATGAAAGTTTTCAAAAGTCTTTTAAATTTTACAAAAATCTATAAAAGTTTTAAAATGGAAGTCTGCAAAAGACTTTTACTAATTTCATACAAATCTCTAAAAAATTCATGAAATCCACAAAAATTATTACTTCAAAAAATAATCTATCAAAATCTTCAAAACGCTCAATTGAGAGCTTGTTTGGGATGGATTAAAATCCAATTAAAATTGAAAATATAGCCGTTATTGGGTCCCACTTGTCTAATAAAAGTCAACAATAACAGCTAGTTTTTCAATTTTAATCCAATTTCAATCTCTACCGAACACGCTCTAAGAATAGAAAAACAATTAAGAAGATNAACATTAGCACCCGCACACCCATTTTGTTTCTCTGACTTACAACCTTGGATGCAGAGTTAATGTAAGAGCTTGTTTGGGAAGGATTAAAATCCAATTAAAATTGAAAATATAGCCGTTATTGGGTCCCACTTGTCTAATAAAAGTCAACTCCAACGGCTATATTTTCAATTTTAATTTGATTTTAATCTCTCTCAAACAAGCTCTGAATACACCCCCTTAATTTTATTTGGAATTTGTAAAAACTTAATACCATTTCATTTTGTTCAAAATGCATTTTTTTCTCTTTTTTTCAATTATACATTTTCCAATGAAATAATATTACACGTTTATTTAAAAATTTTCCTTCTTATTTAACAGCACATTCTTCAAAAAATCACTATTCGAAAATACATTTTTTCCCAAAATTTAATTTTTATGGAACCCAAATTCTCTTCACACTTTTTAAGTTAAAGCATTAAGTAATTTAATTTTAAGAATAATAAGTTAAATGATTTTAAAACTTATTTACTTATGGGTAATCCTTTCAAGGGTAGCTAAATATTCTATTAATTGAATTGTGAAGCCTGATATCAAGAAATTGTTCATTATTGTCTTTTAAATTTACTTTTAGCAATGTAACTTAACCAAAGCAACATCAAAACTTCACCAACCAAAATATTGGCTCCAAAGCAACCTTTAAAATCATTAAGAACAATCCATCGCTAACAATTGCAGTCC